AGAGCTGGGGGGCGTGTATGGGGAGGGGGCGTGGTTGGGGGGCGTGGGGTTAGGAGCAGGGGGCGTGTATGGGGAGGAGGCTGTATGGGGGCAGGGGAAGGAGGCTGGTTGTGGGGCTGGGGTTAGAGCAGGAGGGCTGTATGGGGAGGAGGCTGTATGGGGGGAGGGGAAGGAGGCTGGTTGGGGGGCTGGGGTTAGAGCTGGGGGGTTGTATGGGGGAGGGGAAGGAGGCTGGTTGGGGGGCTGGGGTTAGAGCAGGGGGGCTGTATGGGGGGAGGGGAAGGAGGCTGGTTGGGGGAGGAGGGTTGGAGCAGGGGGGGCTCTATGGGGGAGGGGGCTGTATGAGGGGGAGGGGAAGGAGGCTGGTTGGGGGGCTGGGATTAGAGCAGGGGGGCTGTATGAAGGGGAGGGGAAGGAGGCTGGTTGGGGACGGAGGGATCTCCTGCCTGTATTTGGACCCATCTCCTCCATCCCCGATACGGAGTTATCGAGTGCACTTGGTGGACCGAATCCTGCTTTTCTCCCTGCACCCGAGCTGCTCCTGGGGCACTGTGAGGGAGGCTGTGAGCCTTGCGCACTGCTGGGCCCACCCCAGGGGCCACGTGGATAGTCCCATTGGCGCAGATGGCCATCAGAACGATGGACCAGACCCGGCTGTGCGGAGCCCTCGGCGTGTGACCGTTCGATATCTCTTGTAAGTTTGTTATTAATCGCCAGGTAAATCTACAACTCTTCAGGTGCACGGAGCGCTGGAGACTGCAGAGATGTGGGTTTCCTTTCTGGGACGGGCTCCCTCGCAGAGACCACCTAAAAAGCTGCTTCTGCAGCGTTCGGGGCTTTTCCGTGGACCTGACAAAAGCAGATTTTAGCCACCATCTAAGCCATTCGGACACCCGAGGAGATGGCCCTCAGACTGATCCCCAGCAGAGCGACGGAGAGCCCTGCGCTGCGGGGGGCTCAGAGCCTTTGAAAGACACAAAGCCCCCCTTTTCCAAGCACCCAACGCTGCTTCCCCCCACTAACTGCTGTATGAGTGGCTGCCACAACTGCGTTTGGATTGCATATGTAGAGGAGCTGCAGAAACACTACCAGGATGGGGGGGAACAGGCCTTAGCAGCTGTGGAAAAGCACATAGACGATGAGAACATTAAAATGATTTTAAAGATGGAAATCAGATTCCGCATGAAGAAAGACTGATGCTCACAGCCTACCCTGCATGGCTCCTCTTCTCCCATGGCACTACACACTCCAGAGAGCGGGCGAGCCAAGATTTATTTATTGTCCCTTCTCCAAAAAGGCTCCTCATTTAACATCGTTTGTCCATCTCCTTTTAAGCTCGAGAACCCAGTTTGACGACCAGTTGGTAAAGGGTTGCCATTATTTATTGGTATGAGTTACAGTACTTGGTGGAAATTCGGTGAGAATAAATTCATACCCGTGTGCTTAAAAATGGGAACCTCTTCTAGGCCTGTCTCTCTGTTCTGGGCTTGTGCAACGCCTACCGTGACGGGGCCCTGGCCCATGACTTGGGCTCCTAGCTGCTGCTACTTCATGTTTTGTCTCACGCTTACTCCAGTGGAGTCGCTCCTGACGCACACTGCTTTAATAGCGTTTGTTTAACATCTGGACCGGCTGCCCCCACTTCCGGCTGATCCCGGAGCCCCGCCCCCTCCCCAAAGGGGACTAAGAATTCAGCACCCAAATCCCACATTCTCTGGGCGTTTAAGTCCCTTAGCCCTCTTTAAAACCCCTGCTGTAGACTAGATAAATAGTCCTCTCTCTCCCCTGATGCACGGCCAGCTGGGCTCCCCTCTTGATCCTCACCCAGCTGCTTGGTGGCTGGAGTTGAAGAGCCTAGTGCATAACCGCCGATTCCCTGGGAGCCCTTTAGAACCACCCTGTTTGCTGTGTCTTTCTACACTTGTTAGAGGCTTCAGCATGTTGTAAGCACTTGTTGTTGAGGCTTTCTGGCATGTCGGCCCCTCAGATGGGGTTGGCTGCCAGAGCCCAGTGTTTCTTCTCAGAGGAGGCCTCGCTGGGGTTTGTAACCTGTCCCATCCTCCTCCTGAGGAAATGGTTTTTCCTGTGGGCCAGTGGGATTTGCTGGCCCACTGGGCTCAGAGGTGACTGTATTCAGCGTGGGTCCCTGTCCTTGTACAAGGGGGTTTCAGCAGCTACCAAGCAATGGCACCAGCCTTCTGCCATGCTGCTCGTTCTGGTTAACCCTTGATGGCTGCAGCTGACTTTTGGCACCCCAGCCTAGTCGGGGCAAAGTCCCCAGTCCGGGCGGTGAGCGCCTGGATTTTATCTGCATCTTGGATGGATGAAGTGTGTACGTTAGACCATTGACTGCAGATGGGATAAACTGCAAGGAGAAAACTGGATCTGCTCATGTTAGCAACAGGGCAGAACCTTGCTAAGCCTCACTAAACCTGAGGCCCTTTGTATCCCTTCGCAGCAAAGATTTAATACCGGCGCTCTAGCGCGGCCGCCTGAGCCTGCACTGATGATCTAGTCTGCACTCTGCCAGGCTTGCTAGCGCTTAGTAAAGGGAAGCTACACTGGTCCACACACGATTAAAACCCTGTTCACCAGGCAGTGCCCTCGCTTTGTTGGCTCTTTAGTGAGTTTGCTCCCTCACCTGTTACTTTGCAGCTGGTTGTGAGAATGGGGGAGGCTCCCTCCCGTGAAGAAACAGCAACTGGGGTTTCTCTTCTCTTCCTGGAGGGGAGAGGGAACTCCTTCTGCAGAGGTAGCTGTGTCCATCCCACCCTCTTCTGGTCAGACATTCTCACTGTAGTAGAACCAGGGGGCAAAGTGTATAAATCAGCGGCTGATTGTGGGTCCCCTGTCAGTTCTGTAAGGGGGTGATAGATCCCTAGTGACACTCTGGACCTGGAGATCTCCCCCCAAAACATCTCAGTTGAGTCCAGTGCACTGAACAGCCTGGCTTAGCTCTGAATTGTGAGATGAGAACGTAACATTTATTTCCCTGGGCTGGAGGTTTCCTTACTTGTTAGATAAGAACGGCCGTCCTGGGTCAGACCAAAGGTCCATCTAGCCCAGTATCCTTCTACCGACAGTGGCCAATGCCGGGTGCCCCTGAGGGAGTGAACAGGACAGGCAGTGATCAAGTGATCTCTCTCCTGCCATCCATCTCCACCCTCTGACAAATAGTCGAGGGACACCCTTCCTTACCATCCTGGCTAATAGCCATTAATGGACTTAACCTCCATGAATTTAACCGGTTCTCTTTTAAACCCTGTTATAGTCCTAGCCTTCACAACCTCCTCAGGCAAGGAGTTCCACAAGTTGACTGTGCGCTGTGTGAAGAACTTCCTTGTATTTGTTTTAAACCTGCTGCCTATTAATTTCATTTGGTGACCCCTAGTTCTTGTATTATGGGAATAAGTAAATAACTTCTCCTTATCTACTTTCTCCACATCACTCATGATTTTATAGACCTCTATCATATCCCCCTTAGTCTCCTCTTTTCCAAGCTGAAGAGTCCTAGCCTCTTTAATCTCTCCTCATATGGAATCCTTTCCAAA